CCAGCCAGCATCGTTTTGGATTAGGCAAGGAAATAAATGGGAAAACCAAAACCCAAACCTATTCTGTCACGTAAGCTGGTCCATGACTTGATCTCCATAAATGAACCTCTTAGTGGTCACCATGACCTGTAACCCACCCTCAAGCTTTTACTCACTTTTCAGTTCCCTCCCTTATACACAACACACACACACACACACACACACATACACACACACATACGTATTCATACTTGCACATATGTGCAGAAAGGCTCAGAAACAAAACACACACAATTATCACTGTAGGGTACATTTCTCATGGCAGGGGACAGAGTAGATCCAAGACTATTAAAGTATCCATTCAATTAATTGAGATAATGAACTTGGGCTCTGAGCACAGTGTCTGGCATATGGTAGGTAAACATTAACTATTATTATCATGTTAAAAGGGCTAGTTACTCTATGTTTACTAATCTAATTACCCTCCTTAAAATGACCCTATGAGGGTATTGATTGTAGCAAAATGGGCTGAAACTGTGAATCATCCAAGACTGCTAGTGAAGGCAGTGTTGTCATTAAAATCCAGGAATAACTGGCATGTTGTTTCTATTGTGTCAAACTGCATTCCAATGGGGGTATCTAAACACTACTGGAATACTGAAAGGGTTAAAAATGAACCTAATTTGGTCCTACCCACACCAGCACCAAAATGTTGAACAAAATAACAAACAACAACAAAATAACTAACCCAATCCAGAACCAGGTACTCTTTCATATTTTATTAGACTCACTCAGAAACACAAACTATAGGATTGATGGAGAAGTTTATTTTTGCTTGGAAAATTAATGTTGTATATGCTGCAGCTTCCTGCACTAATACTTCTCTCAAGTGCAATACTTGAGCTTGAGCCTCCATAAATTGTACTGACCTCAAGACCAGCCCCCTTCATTTACCTGCTTATCTGACCCATGGGAGTTTGTAATTAATTAGTCCGGCACTCACTTATCACATCAATTCACAGATCCACGCAACAGTGTACTTTATTTGCCAACAGGTAATCCACGCTGCACTCAGTGGTCAGATATTAATCTTCTTACAAGGGTGATCCCATCATATCCCTTTCTTGCTCAGAAATGACCAGGCTTCCCTGTCCCCACTGGAGTGAGAGCCCTATAGCTCAGCTCACATTTCTACTTTCCACAGAATGGATCTATCCTCCAATCCAAATTTTCTTAGCACTAATTCTTTGCATGAATCTACTGTTTAGGCAAGTCTGAGCTGCACAGGACTCTTGCTATTCCACCACATTTTCCCTTTCTTTTCATTCACCTTCTACTCTGTCATCCTCCATGAAACAGCCCACAGGCTCTGGCTCTCTCTGAATTCCAACAATATTGATTATAGCAATCACTTTGTTTCTTAGAATTAATTGCATTAGACAATGCTAGGGGAATGTGTTTTATCTCCATGACAAAACTGCAAGCTCTTGGGAGACAAAACTATTTCTGGTACTAAATGTTTTTTAGGGCCTAGCACAGTGTTTCATATCAAGTCAGCATGGGATAAGTTCATCCATTCATCAAGCGAGGATTATTAAGTACCTATTATATACCAAGCACTGTGCTGTAACTTCAAAATACAACAGTGAACAAGATAGATATTCTCACAGAACTTATATTTAATAAGAATAAGACAATTACTTTATCAGCACTTTCAATAATGTTGGATAATGTTTCAATAATGTTGGCTAAGTGGGAAGATGGGGAAAAGCTCATGTTCTAGAGGAGGAAGTGGCAGCCACAGAGACGGTGAGGTTTCCAATGGGCTCTTTATACCTGCTAACATTTGCTCATTGAATGGATCAGGGAGAGAAGGAAGGAAAGAAAGGAGAGAGGAAGAGGCAAGTATTAAAGGTTTGCAATAGCATGTTCCTGCACTTTAGTTACATATAAACAAATACAGAAATAAATACAAAGACAGACACTTTCATACATACAGCCTGTCTACCTACATACTTATCATGAGAAGAGTAAGGTCCGACTCTAACTCATAAATCTACACTAATCTATTTTCAGCAGAGATTCACCACAACAATTCCATTACACACTTGAATTAGTGGAAATCCAAACTCAACGGTTCAATTACTCTCCTTACTCGATTAACAATTGTTATGAGATATACATATCTTCAACAAATATTCTTTCTTATAATATCAATGCAAATGTCCCCAATCTACATGTCAAGATGGACCACAGCACGTAATCAGTTTTGATATTACTTTTTTATTCCTTTGAGAGAGTTAAAGGAAGTCCATTTTGAAGCTCAAATAACGTTCAGTTTTAAATTCCAATTCTAGGTTAAGATTTATGCCAGCTCTTATTTAGCATATGCAGCCATCCGTGTCCATAGGCCTTTCTGGTTCTGAAATATGGAATAATTCTACATGTATTTACATTCATCCAGCCTGCTTATTCAGCAAGCTTTCTAAATAGATGCTGGTTTGCGCCAGGGTAATAAACGGAGCTAAGGGGGACCTACGAATCGGGGCACAAGGTCAGAAATGGACATTCTCATAAACTGATTATAGTTTTTCTCAAAAGCTGATTACAGTATTCTTGATTATAAAATTACAAACTGTAGATAGGATTACCTTCTGTAGGAATCTTCCTAGAAGGAGGTGAGGGAGGGTGCTTTGCGCATCTATGGGAGATAATTGCTCAGGCGGTCCAAAGTCAAGGACAAAGATTCTAAGGCAGGAGCAGGTCTGACATGTCAGAAGGACAGCAATGGGGGAAGGAGTTGAAAGTTGAGGGTAAAGGGTTACTTTTCTTTGGTTGATGAGGGAGAAGGGGTCCGACAGCATAGGGCCTTTGGGGACATTATCAAGAATAAGGTTTTTACCCTGATTGAAATGAGCCATTGGGTTTTGAGCTTCAAAGTGATTTGACAGACTCTTATTTAAAAGGATTCTCTTTTTCTTTCTTAATTTAGCTTGAGTGAGTGATTAGGCGAGAATATACCTTACCTAGTGGAACAGAAGTGACTCATCATTTTACAAGAATATTAAGTTTCTAGAGTTTAATTATACACTCCCCCTTTAAGATTGCCAAAATCTATCTGATTCTGGCCGGGTTTTTTAAAATCTGTTATTGATTCTGCTGTTTCCCTTGTGGGAAATTTTCTTGTAGAAAGTGCAAGGAACTACAAAATATGAGAATCAGCCTCCGATGTTCTGCTAGATGACCCCAGGAATGTTCTCTTGTTTAACCCTCACAGGAGTCTGTGAACAAGGTGCTATCTTCCTAGAAGTGAGCAAGCAAACTTGGAGACCATAATTGGCTCAAGGCCACACAGCTAGAAATACAGATGATGAAAGTAGAACTCAAGACCTACTGCTAAGGTGGACCTTGTGTATTTCATGCTGACACAATGTTCCCTGCTTAAGAATTAAAATTCTTACATAACCTTTAAAAATAAAAATTCTAGCTTTGCAAACAATCTTTTGCAATTTTGATAAGCATGAATCAACACCACAGGACCCTCGGTTGGCCAGATGAAGCTTGATTGCTAAATCTGTACTCCTGAGGGTCGCACTTTTTTCTCGTTTTTTTCCACCAAACTATAGCCATTCCTGAAATGTATACCCTCCGCAAAGTAGCCAGCTGAACAAACCCTTATGCAATAAGTTGGGAAGGAGTATGGTGTATGCATTTATGTGATAAATGCACATGTGCACAAGTGCGCAGAAGAGGGAGAGAAAGGGAGAGAGAAAGATGTCTTGATTGTGGCCAAGCGAAAGTGCGGCCACACTGCCCACCACTGCATCTCATCCCAAGGGTACACAAGGCAGAAGACACACAGCAACCAGCCTGCCCTTGTCACCCTCAGCCTTGGACCTCACACTTGGCAGTGGGAGTTGCTTACTAGGACCAACCTCATCTTCTTTAGAGTTCAGCTTGCAAATGAGATATTTCAAAACATCAATCTACAGAGTTCCTGCTTCTCTCCTAATCATCTCTCATCCTTTCTCTGACTCATTCACTATTTTTATCTACTAATTTTTATTTGGTGAGGAAGATCAGCTCCAGGCTAACATCTGGACAGTGCGTGGGTCCACGCCTGGGATCCAAACCCACAAACCCCAGTCACCGAAGCAGAGTGCGCAAACTTAACCACTATGCCACTGGACCGGCCCTATCGTTCACTATTTTTTTAAACCAACTTTGTTCCCCTGGAGAAAGGAAATGCATCACTCTTACTGGATCCAGCAATAAAAGTAAACAAATCTTTCCCTCTACTTCAAAGAAATGAAGGCTTTCACTTTTATCTTCCCAAGCAGACTAGAAGAGAGAGGCTTTCTTTTTCTTCCCCCTCAGCAGTGGGAGTGAACACCTTCTATTCAACAACTCCATCCATGAACTCGTGGCTTCGTTCTCAAAGGGTCAGTGAAGTCCACAGAGCCCACAGAAGTGCCGATGTGAGAATGACCCACAGATCCCTAGCCAACACTCAGATGTCCATTTTGAACAATAACTGCTTTAAGAATTCATAACTAGGAATAGAGGAAAATCAGTTCTGGAGGGAGCAAAGACTTTAGGATAGGTGTTTGTCTCCATAGCGACATGGGGGAGGCAGAGAATCAAATTTAGGCTGAACTACCGGAGGGTTTGGGAAGGGCAGAAAAAGAGGAAAGAAGTTACGAGGCAGCGGATTCAACCTCACGTGGACCTCACTGCAAATAGTTTGAATCATCCCTTGCATTGAGTTACAGGGCTGTTCAGATGAGGAGGATAATAAGGCTAAATTAGCACACAATATTGTCTAAGAACTCAGGTGTTAGAATCACAAAGATCTTTGCTCAAACCCCAGTTCACACACTTAGGAGCTATATGATTTGGGGCAAGGTGTTTAACACATCCAGGTCTCATTTTCTAATATGTATAATACAGTTAGATAATCATAGAGTAGTTGGGCTCATTAAAAAAAACCATGTGTGGGAAAGGCTTATTCAATACGTTACCTGGGCAGCCTTCCTCCGAGGGTACCTGGTTGACTCCAACAAAAACGGCTCCACAGTAGACTAGCCAGGGGGAGGCGGTGCAAAGAAGGCAGGGGTCTGCAAGGAATAACTGATTAACAACTGTGTTCCCATTCACAAATTAGCACCAACTTATCCCCTAACCTTGAGAAAATTACTCAATCACGAAGAAGTGGTGTCAGCTGGTGGCAAAGCCCAGGCAGGGAGAGGACATCTGAGTTATAATTCTCCCTCTGTGCCCAACAAATTACGCTGCCATGACAGGTCACATAACCTCTCTGGACCTCATTTCTCTTTGTGTAAAATGAATGAGTTGAGTTAGACTAAATGTAGACGCTCCAAATTCTGAAACTCTCTTTGGGCTTAATTTCCCTGTTAGAGGAGAGACCACTTCTGACTCTGTAAGCATGACAGCATCTGACAAATATCCCCACTTCCTGTGTGATGGTCGATTATCAATTCCAATTATGAGACCAAAAGAGGAACAATCTGAAACCAGCCTGCAGGGATCTGTTCCCAAAGGGAGGGGGTGAAGCTATTAAGGGTAATGATCAAAGCCTGGCCATTTACTGGGAGGCTGTTAGGCAAATTCGCTGCTTTTCTCTGGGATCTTTTCCCCTGACCTAGTAGCCTGCAGGGTAGGACACAGAAGAGGGCTCAGCTGCTTCTCCCACAAAGACAAATGGGTCTAAAATGATTCGCACTTACAGTGTTAATTATGAAATCATCTACTTACTTTTTTGTCCTTCTTTGCCAATCATTCTAAAAATAATATCATTGAAACACTGATTTACTTGCTGTGCCCAATTGAACACCCCAGGAAAATCCTAGCCACTGTAATATTCGAAAATGCCCCTCTAAATTAGTAAGCCTTGCAGACTCTATTGGCAAATTCAATCACACTTCTGCCACTGGTATTATTATTTGTCATTCCCTTAAAGAACTAGAGTTCACCCCCCTTCAATTCCAGTCAGTCTGAAATGATATGAAGATGCTGTGAGTTTTACAGCAGCAACTCCATCAACATCAATATACAATAAAGAACCCCGAAGTCTAATAAAAACAAAAGCCCCAAACAGTATCTGAAAAGCTTTTAAGAACAGAATAAATGCACTAGTGATATTTTCCTCTCCTGTTATCATCACAGTTCTTAAACAATAGTGTACAGGCGTCACTGGTATTTATGCTTCCTTCTTCCATTCAGGTGCAGAAAAAAGGAGGAGGATTTATTAGATTTAATTAGCTCTATAATTCCTGAGTTTCCTTAACCAAATGAGGTAGTTTGTTACTAAAAGTGGAAGTTGGTAATTTTTTATGAGGCACCGCCTAATGTTTCTACCTAATGTTGATTAATACAACTGCAAAGAGATGAAATTTTAAATCTCTGGGTTCTACAAATAGAAAATGAGAAGTAATTGGGACTCCTGGAGGAAAGCCATATAGAAGCCACAATGAAGGAAAAAGGGATTATTATGAAACAGGATCTCACTTGGGAATGGCAATTCTGATGCTAGATTTTAGACCAATCCGAGTTTCAACACTACAGATGCAGGGAGGTCATCTAAACTGTGGGAAGGTGCTGACGGGGCGCCATTCCTCTAGATGAGTGAAATTCCTTGTGAAACCCCCCTTCCTGCTCTGTTTAGCTAAAGGACGGACACAGGAAATTTCAGATTTGTAAAATATTTTAATAGAGATCCTTTCTAACTGCACATTCCACACCGGACTTCCAGCTATAATATTCCCATTATTTGTTTGAACAATATGGTCTTAACCTTTTCCCCAGCTTGACTAAACTTTAGACAGGCTTCTTCCTGACTCTAGGACTCTAAGTCATCGTCCTCTTCTTGCAGCATTTCCTTTAGAAAACTTGTAATTAGAAATCTTTTCTCTGCCTCTTTAACATATAGATCTTTTTAAAAGCCACTTGCCAGTTTTCAACTCAGAAATGTCTTTCTCATGGATCTGGGAACCACCTTTTTGAAATGTAATCAACGAAGGAGTTAGTACCCCTATCTCCCAATTTCAGTGGGAGGAGCAGAAACCTACTTCCCTGGGCACCTTGCTCCAAGTTGTGAAACTACCTCCTGCCATAAAGATACGGGAAGTTTATTTTTCCTTTGGATGAAGCCAATTAGCAAACAGAGATTGCCAATGACTTCCCCCTAATGACCTCCAAGACTTTTTCATTAGCTCACATCAGCCCTTAAAAAAACCCCGACCGCTTCTTCTTCTGGAATTGAGTTTAGATTTAGTTGTAGCCTGTTTCTTATTGCAATAGCCTTGAATAAAGTCTTCTTTGCCTGCTTTACTTTGGCCAGCACAATTTTTGCTTTGACATGTTCATCCTGCCCACGTTTGAAGCTTTCTGATGATGAGCGAGGGTTCCAACACCTCCTTGAGCACCCATTCCTTCCTCAATTATTCCTGATCTTAGACAATTTTCCCTTAGAAGGATCCTCAATCTATCGTATTAGGAATTGTACTGACCAACCCTGGTTCTGCCCATGGGGTCCATATTGTACACAACTTTTAAATGTCTAAAGAAAACTTCTCTTCTCTAGATTCGGCTTCCAAGCACCTTCACAGAGGGCTCTGAGGCTTAAGGCTTGAATTTGACTTTGTCAAAGGAACTCCCTAAGGGAATGTTTGAGGATATAGTGCCTCCAGGTCCAGAAGAGGCACCTGGAGGGGGTTTTGTTTTACCTTGGGAAAATAAGAACATAAAACAGCACGAAAGTCAACATATGACCCATAGATCAAGAGCCATCAGAATGAATTACAAATTCATTCAGTTTTCAGTAATGCTTTCGTGACCTTACAAATAAAAGCAACCTTTTGAGGTTTGAGTAGCCCAAGGTAAGGATACCAAGATTCCTTGTTGCTTTAGTCTCCTAAAACCATCAAGGAAAGATACTACACATTCAATTTGGAGGGTGAGAAGGATAATAGCTGGTAAATTCTTTCCTAGACCACAGTGAAAACCTTGAAAAATCTGTAAAGTTCATAAATTTGTTGTTCTTTTATTCTATTCCTCCCTGGCAGACTTTGCCATACATATTCATACCCTTCCTCCCCAACTACTTGAAGTTTCTCCAGTTTAAGGTCTAGGTATTTTCCTATTCTGGATGTTTTCCAATATTCTCACCTCTATCAAAATGTTTTCATTCAATGCCCCATTCTATCAGGCATGGTTTCAAATTAAGGGGCAGCCAGTCAATCAAGCAGTCAATCGAGTTCTATTATTATTTGATTGGGTAGGTTTTTCATCCAAGAAAACACGGTTAAGATACAAGGGGGCACACTTGGCGTTCACTCAGGGAAGGATCATTACGTGCCTTTTCCTTAATCTAAGGTTTTTACATCCATAGTCTCTGCTGCTCCTTCCCACAGCCCCCTTCTGTTCAAAAGTAATCTCTTTCTTTCTACAACCTATACAGTATTTTATTTGTCTTTCTTATGGAATACGCTTTCAAATTTATTTTATCATACTATGTTGTGATAGTACCTTCTCTCCTAGGCTTAGGGCCCCTCAAGGGCAAAGCTATTTAGCTTTATATAGCCCGTAACAATCAGCACAGTGCCTGCCACATAGCATATCTCAATAAATATATTGAAAGGTAAAAATTGAGAAATTAAGCCATGTAAGACAGAGAGAAGAATTATTATTTATTACCACTTTTCAGGGAGGTTAAGCAGTTTCCCAATGCTTAATGTGGGAGACATCCCTCTTGACTAGCGAACATACACCTGATTATGATGACTCTGGATATGCAATTACACCTAGAGTTCCAAGGTCTGTGGCCGCTGGAGATGTGTGTCAATTCTGGTTATTTAGAGGGGCACACTAAAATAAGCCTAAATCATATTACCTATTGTTAAATTTTAGCATGTGTGTGTACATTTATGTGTATGTGTGTGGGGGGGAGGACCAAACTTGCATTTTAGTAGCTCTCATTCTGTTCTGAACAGATAGAACTTATCAATTCATTTGATTGAGCTCTAGAAAGAATGACTTCTCTATTACAGGCAACAAATAAGAGCTATAAATCTGGGGAACAGGGGACACTGCCCACATTCACCAACAAACAAACGAAATCTTAGATCCTTCATTTGCAAGAAACAGTGGTAGCAGCCCTCTATATTGCACAATTCAATCTCTCAGGCCACAGATATTTTCAGCTGTAGAAGAAAGACAATGTTCATGAACTCATTACCTAATCTTGATCAATCTTAATATACTGTACAAAATTGTTGGTGTAGGCAAAATGGCTTTTTTTCTTTGATGTTCCTACAAATGGATTTATTTGGAAGTAGAAATGAGAAGTTTGAATGAGAGAACGTAAACACAGTTGGAGCTGCTTTCTAAGCTCTGGGAAATTGTGAATCAGGCACAATCCTGCATAAAGCCAGACACCATGGCTTTAAAAAATAAAAGAGTCAAGAGATTTGCAAGACCTACTTTTCTGATAATTAAAACATCCTTGATTTCCCAAAAAAGAACTTTAATGAGTCCATTAGTCATACCAGATACCAATAAAGGCCTGACTTTAGCAGCTAAGTGTATAGTCATGGGTTCACCCAAGCTGCTGGTCATCTTAGGTACTTAATGATGTGTTAAGTGTTTCTATGTCACTTGACTAACTCTTAAATGAGGAGCTAGGACCATAACAATAAAAAGAATCAGACTTAGACTTCAATTAAACTTTAAAGATAGCATTCCACCCAGTCCCACAGCATCTTCTACATAGGGCAGCTGGAGGCACTGAGCCTCCTTGGAGCACTCCCAGTGAAGGGAATTGTAGGGGAGGAAGACATTTCCTCTACCCATTCTATTCTAGGTCCTTCTGGCTGGACAACAAATTAAATTCACATGAGACAGAATAACAGGAGATAAATTCAACAAAGCTTTATAACATGTATACATGAGAGACACCCAGAAAAACTGAGTAACTCATCAAAATGGTGGAGGGTCTCCTCTTAAATACCATCTTCAGCTATAGACAAAGGAGGATGTTGAAGGTGGGTAGAATCAGTTATGAGAGATTACCAGGAAAGTACAGTAAACAAGAGGAGCA